CGGCTCCCCGCAGAGGCCAAAAGAGACAGTCTGTGGACAATCTGGAACATCTCAGCGTACAGTATCAAATTGAAGCCCTCTTGCAGAATTTCTCGCAGCTTGATGTTTCCAAGGTACCTATGCTCCAGGGCCTACCTGCTCCACAGCAAGAACAACTCATTAGCGGGGTTGTCCACACCCTCAATACGTACCGTGATGAACTTCACCAAGCTTGCCAACCAGAGGATCCTGCCGCCCATCCGGGCCATTCCATCGCAGCTTCTTCGGCCCCGCCTGACCACACTTCCACTACTGATCCTATCAGCGGAGGCACCGGTCTTCCACTTCCCCTACCCGATTCAGGATCTATGTCGTTGAATTCCACCTCGACTGAGTCTCAGCATACTTTGGACCCTCCCTTTCCTACTGATCGCCCTCGAGATTGATTTCCATGCTCTCAACTTCAGGTTGAGGCCGTCGCAGCTTCCCTGAGCACAAGATTCTCTTCGCTACGCAGTGAAAAGTTCTTTGCCTTTCTTCTTTCTCGTTTAGATGTTCCTTCTCCTCTTTCTCCTCTTTCTACTTTTCACTTACTCATATGTACTTTTGACCGTTCTTCACCGCAGCCACTGGCTCCTATCCCTCCCACTGCTCCCTTTGCTACTCTCACATCCTGCACCCTGATTGATGATTTCGTCCCCGGGTCTTCGCGTACCTGAGCCTTTGACGCACATGATTCCTACATCTCGTACTTCTTGGAGTGAAGTTCGTCAACCCATCGAAACACTGGACATGGTTCCTGACCTTTCTACCGTTCGCTTCGAATTGGATGTCAGCTTGCTCGTCTATCAACCCCTGAACTACATCACTGTGACCCTAGACTGGCAGCAGCTTGAAACCAAGGAGTACACGGTTGATGATCTCAAAGATGTGATATACTCCCGCTTAGGTCAACATCGTACGGCTTTCTGGATGGCTCTTCCCTCGACTGGTGATTCTCGCGTATGGGAAGTCCCACATACATGCACCCTCGAAGACCTCGTCCTCTACTTTGTCAACTCACGACGAGTACGCCCACAGGGACTTGCCACTGAATACCCCCGTGAATCCGTTCCTTTTCCCTATTGACCGCTCCATACAGTCGCTCCCCGCCTTCATGATGATGCCATTGGTCAACTCCGACTACCATTGACTGCCTATCAGACCTACCGTGAGATCCGTCGATTCACCTAGTCTCACCCCACTCTTGGCGCGGAGCTTAAAATCTTGCCTCCCTTCGGGGAGGCGTGTGTGTGTAACCCTTGGAATCATAGGGATCCTCTTGGATTTGTTCTGCTTGCTTTCTTTCTTTCGAGTTTTACCATAGCAGGGGGCATGCGGCCATCACGCAAACGCATGCCAACGAAGCTATGCGTGATGGTGGAAACCAGGTCTGATCAACCTGGTGTACCTGCTTTTGAGAACCTAAGTACGGCAAAAGCTGTCTACTTCGTTGTTTCCTTCAGTAAAGGGCTACTGCAGCGGCGATGAACTTGGCTTTTCTGCACGTACGTCGTCACCTTGTCGTCCGCTCGATCGGCGTTTTCTTTTGGAATTGCTGGCCACCTGAAACCTTTGGGACCTCCGCTGGATGGACCTCCTCTTCCTTTAGGTTTCCTTACCTGTACCCTTAGGAATTGGAACCCTAGGCCGGCGTGTGGCACCCCTGTCAGTTCAGTACACCCTATCCTAAGTGTGTGTGTCAACCCCTGTTACGGTAGGGGGCTGGCGTGTGCTTCAGATGTCTCCAGCCAATGAAGACGCATCTGTCGCACAGTGACATAGTTCTGGGGCGCCAGAACTACGTACCTGCTTTCTTCAACTGTTGACAAGCTGTCCACTCTCGCTTTTTGTTTCCATGGTGTTTCATGATACTACCCCCAAACCTTTCCCACCGCGTTTCTGCAGCTGCACCGTGCATTTAGTGATTTCTGCAGACTTCAAAACAGTTTGTTCAAACATCTACAAGTTTTGCGGACTCTTCACCTTACCGTTCTTCACCTTCCTTCCCATCGTGGCAATTGAGTTATACTGAGCTCTGGTGACTAAGGAGTTGTAAAGCGCGTGCTGAAATCAACAAGGTCTATGTCATCTCTCTATGAACATGTCCTGCAACTCCCAAGTCATCACTTTACCAAAGCCAAAAACACGTTAGTGCAAGACCACCTCATAAAAACCTGAGGCTAACCTTTGTTTTTGTGTGCAGTTGTGTGTCGTGAGACTTGTGTCAGCACCTCCAGTACAGCTGCAGGAGCTGAAGAAACGTGAAGGCTGAGAGGTGTAGACAGTCTGGAAACTTCTAGAACGTGTTTTTTCATGCAAACCAGCCTCAGTCCACTAGTCCTAGGTCATGTGTCCTGAAGTTTGTCCTAGGTCCTTTTTCACTAGAGCCCACAAGTCCCAAGCTTCAAGTAAGATGCCGCTCAAGACCGTGCCAGCCTCCCAAACCCAAACATAAAAAAAATAAATACCAGCACCTGCGTGGACAACGCAACTTATGACATAAGCGTTCCATGTGTCCCCTACTCCCAAGTCATGTAAATGTATATGCAAAATCAAACCAGTGAATACTCAGATGACCTAGGACTTCTGGGCTGAAGTCCTTTCTCACTAGAGGCCACAAGTCCCAAGACATCAGAACCTAGTATAACTGAAAACCAATGTCAGAGTGTGAGCCGCTCAGTCTTCCCACTTGGGTGCTGGGTGTGACCCTCCGAAAGGAGGTGCTGTTATCATTCCGGAAAGCATCGGTTTTTCTTTCTTATAACTGACTCCACGTTTTCCACTTATATAACTGAATTAACGGACTTTCGAGCCGCCGGGCTATAAACGATGGAATACCATCAACTTGCAATCACAGCCGCCGGGCTAAAAAACGGATTTGATAGCCGCCGGGCTTAAAAACGGAAATTCGCCCCACTTGAGGCAGGTCTCCCAACCCCCCCCGCCGAGTTCTACTCCCTACCTAATTAGGGTAACAGAGGGAAATGGTACTCGGCACACTTGTGTGTCGGTACCTTTCCCTCTGTTGTCCCTTTTCTATTCTTCTCTACCCGGGCGGTTTAAGACTAAAGTCCCGCTCCCTAACTATTGCACGTAATTCGCTTCTGCTAAGTAGTCAGTAACTCTACAGTGCTAAGTATTCATACACACACACGGACACACACATGTACATACACCTCCCTGCTCCCCCCCGCTTTCCTTCTTGCGCTTTTGGTCGTTTCTTGGGCTTTCTTTCAGGCTTTTTAGGTTGCTCTTGAGGCTCGTTTCCCTACCCCAGTCAAGGGCCAAGTATTCACTTTTTCCTACACCTACCTTTCTCTCTTGACCTCTTAGCGCTGCTCTTTCTCTGTTTTTTTTCTTTTGTTTCTAAGGCTTTTTAGGTACCTATTCAGGTTCTTGGCACGAGCGCCGCAAAGCGGCACCGTGTGTGTGTGTGTCAACCCCTGTTCCGAAGGGTGCTTACACGCAGGGGGCTGGAGTGTGCTTCAGATGTCTCCAGCCAATGAAGACGCATCTGTCGCACAGTGACATAGTTCTGGGACGCCAGAACTACGTACCTGCTTTCTTCAACTGTTGACAAGCTGTCCACTCTCGCTTTTTGTTTCCATGGTGCTTCATGATGCTACCCCCAAACCTTTCCCACCGCGTTTCTGCAGCTGCACCGTGCATTTAGTGATTTCTGCAGACTTCAAAACAGTTTGTTCAAACATCTACAAGTTTTGCGGACTCTTCACCTTACCGTTCTTCACCTTCCTTCCCATCGTGGCAATTGAGTTAACTGAAAACCAATGTCAGAGTGTGTGTATTGTGAGTGAAGTTTGTGTGTGTCAAACCCCGTTTCCAGGGGACCTATCTTCTCTGCCTTCCCAGCCGGGGGCACCGGGGCTGCTGATGAGACCGGCGCAAACAAAGACGCTCATCAGTCACCTGTGATACAGTTGGAGACGTCCAGCTGCGTACCTGCCAATTTTTCAAGCTTGAAGTTAAACTATACTGTTTAGGCGGACTCATTCACTTTTTCCGTTCCTCGCAGGGCCATTTTACAGGTTGAGGCTTGAGCGCTCTTAGACTGGTATTGCAGTAGCTAACTCTAAATTGTTAATGCTCACCGCGCATCTCTGAACTGCAGCTCCGCGGAGCACTCATCTTAAGTGTGATTCGCAGCTTCTTCCCACTGTCGTAAGCTGTGTGAACCCCAAGGGGGCGCCGTTACTGATTCTCTTACTCCTTCACTGGAGAGAATCCACTGTACAGTCCTTCTTGGACCTCAAGCCGAAGTTGACTTTTCTTGCTTGAAGTGTGACTGACGGAAATCGTTTCACCTCCCTCGGTATGTATGACATTTGCTGCAGAGCTCACTGAATTCTTCTCTGACATGTGTTTCACCCCGAAGAGTTCCAATTCTTTTAACTTCCAAGTCTTTCAATCCAAGTTTTCACCTTGTTCTGCGTTTGAACCACCAACTTGTTGCTACAGTTTTCGGCTACCTGGACTATCATTTGAGCCTTACAGTCTCACCGCATTGATTGATTCTTGCAAACGCCGTGTCCTACTACTCGCATACTGTTGCATTTACCACAACTCAAGCTCCACCGCAATATCACTTGCCACCAGCACATCAACCAATTCCCCTTTCGATACCTCATCCAGCACAACCTCAATGGCTTCCACATCCAACACAGCCCCACCCACCATCCATCACAGCGGTGTCCCAACAACCCCCTACAACACACTACCCTTCTCATACACTCTCACACATCGTGACATCAGTTACAATCCACCACCACCTTCACAACCACCACAGTTTCAATCCAATCCCATTCAACCTTCCCCACCCCAACCCCATCCTCAGCCTCAACGTCACACCAAAATTCAATCGGCGTCACTTCACGTGTTGAGTTCAATCAACCTCTATGGCCCTTTGCCGCGGAGTTCCAGTACCAGACTCTAAATCAACCTAGAATGGGAGTGGCCTGCAGGGTGCTCGAGGAGTACAAAGCGCTTCCGAAGGACATGCCGCGAGATCAGATGACCGGGCAGCAAAAGAGCCTTTGACCAATACAATTTCACGTCATCATGCAGCCGCCAGCGGCTAAGCGCGAAGCGAAGTGCCCAGGTTTCATCGATTTGTTGGCTGTCGCCTTAGTCACCAAAGCGAGCTCATCAAAAGGTCAATTTTTTGTCAAGAGTTTTTACATGAAAAAGATGGGGAAAGATGGCAGACATCCTGTAGAATTGCAGAAACTTCTGTCTACCGCACCGAGCACTTAAAGGCGCACCAGAAGATGTTCGCTAAGTGTTTGTGTGGTTTCATAGTCTTTGTGTGCTAATCCAATACACAGATGGAAGGACAGCTATTTGGTTTGCAGTTTGCAGCGGCTGTGTTCTTGAGAAAGCTGACTGGTTAGATGGCGGTCTTCATTTTCTTTTTCTGCACTCATGCAACTCAGTCTTGGCGGGCGCCAACTCGGGGGCTTTCGCATTGCTTGGAGAGGTTGCGCCACAGGAGTTAGATTGCTTTGAGCGCCAGCAGATGGCGAAGGCAGTTGATGCCAACCAGCTTTCCAGGTCTACCGCTGTGCAACGAAACCTTGACACCCCTGTGCTTCATACAGCAGCAGAGAATAAAGAATGTTTTGTGCCGCGCGAGGTCGTGTTTGAAGTTGATTTGTGCCGAGAAATCTGTTTTCCAAGGGCGCAACAGGGTGGATTTGGAGGCCGCAGGTAGCAGTCTGTGCTTTGAAGATTAGGGTTTGACAGTGCCCTCATACTCGGCAACTGCTTACCAGCACTTGCAGCTTTTGTGGTGGAAGAGTGATGGATCTGTCTGCGTCACTTGATGGGGCGTTTGAAAACGCGAAGTAGCTGCTCAAGCAGCTGGCAGAGCAGCGAGCCGACAATGAAGCGCCCAGCCAGAAAGCGAGGGGTTGGTTAGTGCTTCTTGTTCCAAGAGGGTCGGTCTTTGCACTTGCTCCGGGTGTAGCCCAAAACAGCGCTTGACTAGCCCAGGAGTCGTGGCCAAATGATCTCGCTTCAGATTGTCCGCAAGAGTGTTTAGACAGACAAGCGGCAGACGGTAGTGTGGCGCAGCAGCCCTCAGCAGGCCTTGGACGTGCCTTTGTCTGATGACTGATGCAGGGGAGGCCTGTGTTCGACAGCCGGTTGGTTGTGGCCACGTGTAAGCGCGGATTTCTTCCAGCCACTGCGGAAAGTTGTATGCAGTATGTGGCTTTCTTGCGCATTCGCCGGGCGGTTCTTCCATTCTCCAGCTGACAGAATCTCGCTTGACTAGTGAACGTATAATTTGATATAATTTGTATTAAGAAAACCACTTAGGCTATCTCTGGTGTTTTTTCCACATAGTTAAAAACAACAAGAAACTAAAAAAACAAAAGCAACAAATCCTAAAAGCAAAAGAACACAAATGAAAACGCAAAAAACAACAAACAACAAAACGAACAAAACATGAAACCACAGCGAAATAAAAACACACAAAACAGCGAAAAACAAAAACACATGAAAAGGCAAAAAGCGAAAAACAACAAAAAACAATTATATAACAAAAACACGAAAAAACAACACACGCACACATAAACACGAAACACATGCGGACAAAAAAAACGCGAAAAACACCGGACAACATGCGGAACAACAAAAGGCAAGCAACAAATTGAAAAATAAACGAACACATGTGGAAAAAACACAGAAAACACCTGTGGAAAACAACTTTTTGCATTTTCAATTTTTATTTGCTTTTTGGATTTGCCTTTTTTTTATGTGTTTCGTTTTTGTTTTTTGATTTTGGATTGTATTTTGATTTTTTCGCTTTTGCTTTTTCATTTTTGCTTTTTGGATTTGTTGTTTTTGCTTTTTTTTTTTGTAGTTGCATTTTTTTCGTTTTTATTTTCAAGATTCACATAGTAGCCTGGGTCCGGCGAACATAAAAATTGTATGTGTTTTGCGGGGCAGAATGTCGACCGCAATACAAGAGAAGCACCTGGCCAGCCATCCCCTTCGAACGGTTGAATTCTCGCCGTGGCCTAAATTTTCGCGCCTTTTGAGCTTGGCTGCGGACATGTAGCTGACGAATTTGTGGAACAGAATTTGGCAACAACACAACCTGCACAGGTCAGACGGTCAGCCTACTTAAGGGAAACCCCAACTGCAAGGCATGTTTGGGCGACACAAATGCTGGGTAGCCTGCAGTACAGCAGGCCTACCCGGTTCAGTTAAACCACCCACTTGTCCAACACCTGAGTCACCTGAGCATGAACCAGGCCTGCTGAGAAGCAACTTCAAGGTGCGTGTACGACCCAACATTGCGCGGGAATTCGGGTAAATAGCAAACGCGCGTAGAAACCGCGAAGCCGCAGAGCCACACAGCGTCAGAGCCGCGAATCTTCGAGGCTTTGAAGCGCCGAGGTGTCAGAGCTAAGCCGCGAAGCCGCGCAGCGTCGGAGCCACAACAGCTCTTTGTTGGATGGCTAGGTGGAGTTTTCATTTACTTGTGGTTCATTAGGGGTTTCTCGGTTTCTTTTTCTACTTTACTTTGTTGTTTTCGTTGGCGCTGGTTCCTAAGAAAGGTTGCATCAGGAGGTCCTTTAGCTTGGTTTTGGATGCCACAGGTTCATTCAAAGTTGCTTCAGGATCATGTCTTTAGCTTTGTATTTTGACCCAAAATAGTTCAGGAGGCTCGCCGCACAGGCGCAAAATATATGTCAGTGCCATAATCAGAAGACGCTTGGGCATGCGGGGTGAGTTGATTCTTCAAGTCTGCTTCCACCTGAAATTTGCAACCGTGGACTTTGTCGTTCAACTTTCGCAACGTCAACATACGTCAACTCAGACTTCAAATCTTCAGCCACACTGCCTTTCACACAGCGCATCCTGCTTGTCATCGTCATCGAGGTTGTTCACCAGAATGACCCCCCAAGCCGCCTGGTGTCGAAGCTTCGAGGAGTAAAGACGTGGAGGCGTGGAGGGGCGCCTAAACTTCTCCTATCCAGCGCGTGATGGGCCAATGGGTAAATACGCCGCCTGGAACCGAAGCCTGCAATGAGAAGCGCGCTTGGCATTAGTGGGGGCTTGGAGTGCCGCTTATTTCAAGTGGGGCTTGACACCGTCGCGTGTTAGTTTGGCGCGTAGTTTGTGACAACTGTATTCCTGCAAAAAATTGCTCACAGGTCGACGGGCCCACCCACCCACCCGCCCACCCACCCACTTTTCCAGAGGTCCGATTCTTCATGTGGCTGCCCAGGAATTGCGCTACCGCTAGCCGCTAGGGGATTGAAAGCGGCTATTTTATATACATAGGATTAGGACTAGGCGCCAGGCTGACAAGCATAGACGCAATTTCATGTAGTGGAACGCGCTTGTGCGCTTGTTGCCGCTGTCCTGAAGTCGTTCTACGCATGGCATCCATGGTTGCACACTAGTATGGCTGCACACTAGAGTGGCTAGACGCTACCAATCTAGAGCCATGTTGCCCTGTGCTTTAGCTGCAGCGGCGATTGTGAGGTGACATCCTCAAACTACGGGTTTGGAACCTTCATGGCTCACCATTTTTCCATAGCCGCAAGGCCATGCGCTTAATGCGCTTAGTAAGCAGCTTCTGCTGCTGAGCCTCCGCTCGGCAGGACTATGAGAAAGAGCAGAAACACAACTGGCGAACCTTGGAGAAGCTTCATGGTGAGTTCCAGAAGAAGGAGGCGGCCAGAGCTGTAAAGGGGGATGGGCGATGCGCCGTCGGATTCTGCTTGCTTTGCTGGCTGGCGGCTTGGCTTGGCTGTCTTTGCTAGCTCTGCTTGCTCTACTTTGCATTGATTGATTTGCTTTGCCTTGCTTGGCTTTGCTTTGCCTGCTTGGTTGCCTTCTTGCATTCTTGCCTGCTTGCCTGCCTGCCTGCCTGCTTGCCTGCCTGCCTGCCTGCTTGCGTGCCTGTGTGCGTGCGTGCTTGCCTGCTTGCCTGCTTGCCTGCTTGCCTGCTTGCCTGCGTGCGTGCCTGCGTGCCTGCGTGCCTGCGTGCCTGCGTGCCTGCGTGCCTGCTTGCGTGCTTGCGTGCTTGCGTGCTTGGTTGCTTGCTTGATTGCTTGCTTGGTTGGTTGGTTGGTTGGTTGGTTGCTTCTTGGTTGCTTGGTTGCTTGCTTGGTTGCTTGGTTGCTCCTTGGTTGCTCCTTGGTTGCTTCTTGGTTGCTTGGTTGCTTGCTTGCTTGGTTGGTTGGTTGCTTGCTTGGTTGGTTGGTTGCTTGCTCGCTTGCTTGGTTGGTTGGTTGCTTGCTCTTGCTTGCTTGCTTGCTTGCTTGCTTGGTTGGTTGGTTGGTTGCTTGGTTGGTTGGTTGCTTGCTTGCTTGCTTGCTTGCTTGCTTGCTTGCTTGCTTGCTTGCTTGCTTGCTCTGCTTCTCTTAGCTTTGCTTCGCTTTGCTTTGCTTTCTTGCTTGCTGCTTGCTGGCTTGGGCTGGCTCGGTTCGCTTTGCCTTGCTTTGCGCTTGCTTGCTTTGCCTTGCTTTGCTTTGGCTTGCTTTGCTTTTCTTGCGTTGCCTTGCCTTAACTGCTTTCTTGCTTGCTTGCGCTCCTTTCCTTTCCTGTTTTTTCCTTGTCTTTTTCGTTCTTGCCCTTCCCCGCCCTTCCATTCCCAGCTTCCCTGGCTCCCCAGGCCCGTATCTGCGCCATGTATCTTGTTTTCAGCTTTGTGCATCTGGGGTCTCTAATGGCCCAAAGATCAAATATTTACAGGCTGCGCTCCGCGCCATGGGGCGGAAAGTCGAGCTCACTGGAGGCTCGCTCGTACTTGCAGCCCTGCCAATTGCGGGGACGGATCAGCTCGCCTTTAGGCGATCACACAAACCCTCACCCGTAGCCATTTTGGCTCAAGGTTGAGGTTGAAGTGGTGGTTGACATAGAGCGCAGTTCTCTTTTGTTGGTTTTCTTGCTTTTCCCTTTCTTCTGCTGCTATGAAACGCGAGGTTAGACCCAGCCGGTTCCAGTTGGATTCCGCTGCTGGTGTCCCTCCACCTAAACACCGCCGTTCGGTGTTTATTTCTCCTTTTGCTGTTAGCTTGGAGCCACACCAGGTTTCGACCGTGCCTCCTGCTCAAGAGCGCCAGCAGAAGGCTCCCCAGCAGGTGGCGCGCCAGGTGACTGCTGCAACAGGAGTTGGGCTTGCTGCCAGTTCTTTGCGAATGCAAGAAGATGCGAAGCGCAAGCGTTTGGCGCATGAATGGGCTATCATGGCAGAAGACTTGCGGGCAGATAGTGATATCCTATCATCTTTTCCCAACAAATCTGGGGTGAGCCTTGCCTTCTTGTTTGAAGACCGTGCTGCAGGTACACTCGCCAAGCATTCTCATGGTTGGCGCAAGTGGCTAGAATTCGCCGGTGCATCTCATATTAACCCCGATAATCCATCCAGTTCTGCTGTGCTGGACTTCTGTGATGCCCTTTCCGTTGGCTCTTTGTCGGATAGGGGGACGCAACGGGTTAGTGCAGCCAAGGCGGTGGTGCAGACTATGAATTTGCGGGGCATAAGCTTGGCCTTCAGAAGCTGCTGGCTTGCGTAGATAACCCTGCCATTGCAGCATGGCTTGCGCAGGACACATGGAAACCCTCTCTGTGCAAAGAAGCTATACCTCTACCTTTGACAGTGGTGGCAAAACTGGAGCTGGGCTTGCAAAATGGCAATGAAGATGACTGCTGGATCATTGGCTGCTTACTCCTCATGACCTGGGGTGGGCTTCGGTGGAGTGACGTGCAGCGCTTGCAGTTCTCTTCTTTGTTACTGCGGGATGGTTCTCTGCGGGGTTGTTCCTGGCGCACGAAAACATCAGCGCAGGGGATGGCTTTCGGTGTTCTCGTGGGGGGAGTGACAGGTAGTGACTGGGGTGTGCAATTTGGGCAGCGGCTAATGCATTGCCAACAGTCGGACCCTGCGCGTGATTTTCTGATGGCCAGCGGAGGCCAGCCCATGGCTTATACGTCAATGCTTGGGCAGATGCGGCGCCGTCTTTGCGATTGCGCAGATCTTTCACCTGAAACAGCGCGGCAGTTCACACTGCATAGTTGCAAAGCCACTACACTCTCCTGGGCAGCTCAATTGAATCTGCCCACAGAGCTTCGGGCCGCGCAAGGCCCCCACCGAATGCCAAACACTTGCATCACAACTGTGCTAGCATCTTTGTGCAAAGACTTGGACCTCACTGACTCTGAGTCTGATCCTGAGGAAGCATGCAGCGGTCCTTCTTGTATCCGAGATACTTCATCTGACAGTGATGCGGGTGAAAGCGATGCAGGGCATGCAGATGAGACGACGGAGGAGCTTGAGTTTGCTGGACCTTGGCTGCTGAACGCGCGCACAGGATGGTATCATCGCGCTGCACACCATAAAACAGATGGGGTTGATGCAGACGAGAAGCATTGGAGGCTGTCGTGTCGGCCTACAGCGCCCAT